CTTTCTTTCTTTCTTTCTTTCTTTCTTTCTTTCTTTCTTTCTTTCCTTCCTTCCTTCCTTCCTTCCTTCCTTCTTTTCTTCCTTCCTTCTTTGCTTCTTTCCTTCTTTTTTTTTTGGAATCACTGTACTGAATTCCATAGTGGTTATACTAGTTTACATCCCAACCAACAATGTAGAAAGGTTCCCTTTTCCCCACCACCTTGCCAGCATTTATTGTTTTTTGAGTTCATGATGATAGCCATTCTCTTTGGAATAAGGTGGAATCGAATCTGTGTTGTTTTGATTTGTATTTCTGTAAATGGCCACAGATGCTGAACAGTTTTTCTTTTATTCTGTACCAGGAATTAAACTCAGAGCTTCATGCTTGCCAGGCAGGCGCTGCGGCACTGAGCTACATCCTTGGCCTGAACATTTTTTTTTTTCGTGTACTCATTGGGCATTTGTACTTTTGAGATGTGTCTGTTAATTTCAGTTGCCTGTTTCTTGGGAACCTTTAAAAGAAATGCTAATTGTCTTTCTTCTTCTTTTTTAAAAGTCTTGGCTACTTATGATTCAGCACACCGAACAACTTAGTAGGATAATGAAGACACATGCAGAGGACCTAAACTCTGGACCCTTACATAGGCTCACCATGATGATCAAGGACAAGCAACAGGTGAAGAAGAGTTATATAGGTGTTCATCAGCAAATAGAAGCAGAAATGATCAAGGTTCGTCATAACATATTGAATTTTTAAATTTAAGTTCACTGAATATTTTATCCTATGTGACTTTAAAAAATATGTATCATTTACTCACAAGAAATAGGTTTGGTGACTGACATATAAATCTGGTTTTTTGGGGGATGTATATGTGTGTGGTTATACTGGGGATTGAACCCCCAGGGCTTTTCCAGTAAGCTGCATCACCCTTTTTATTTTTTATATTGAGACAGTGTCTTGCTAAATAGCCCAGCCTGGGCTAGACCCTGAAGTGTTCCTGCCTTAGCTTTCTGGAGTTCTGAGATTACAGCACTTACCATCTTACCTTATTATACTTATCTTAAGATATCTTATTGTCTTAGATTTTATGTATAAAATATTACTGCTGATAAGATATAGCGTTACCTTATATACACCTAAGAAAAAATGTTAACAATTGAACTATTACATAGTACTTTTCAAAATTATATAGTATATTTAATTTGTTTACTGAAATAACTTTTAGCCTTTAAAAAAATGTAAATAATACTATGTATAAATAACAAAATATAAGCAAAATAACTTAGTTAAGATATTTCTGAATGGTTTTTACACTTATGGTTTATCTCTTCTGATAATTTCTTAAAACTGTTTTTATTATACAATTTCACAAGTGTACAAAAAAAAAATAGTACCATGAATTTCTATCTACCCATCACTTAAAAATTCACTTTAGTTTTTCCTGTTGTCCCACTCACTTTTTCTTTTACACCCCATTACTTTAAAGAAAATCCCAACTGTCATTTTGTCCATAAATATTTTAGTATCTTTTGCTAAAAAAAGGATTCTTTAAAAAAGACTACATTATCATTGATCTAATTAAAATGATAATAATTCCCTAATGTTCTTAAATACCCTATCTTTAAATGATTGTCCTTTAAATATTTTTTACTATTGCTTTCTTTGAATCAAGATCCAAACATGGTCCATGCATTGCATTTGAATAATTTTCTCTTAATCTTTAGATTTTCCTTCTTGGACTTTTAAAATAAAAATGCCATTTATTTGTTGAAAAAAACTAGATAATTTGCTTTATAGCATTGAATTTCCTTCATTTTGTATTTAGGTGGTAGCATCCTATGATGTGATTTTTCATTTTTCTTCATCTTTTATTTTTCCTGTAAAGTGAAATTAGATCCACAGGCTTGAGGAGATTCTGGTTGTTTATTTTGGATGTATACTTGCTGATGTTTTGTGTTGAATGTTATATAGTGCCCACTTTATCTTTTTGTGAGGCTAAACTTCACTATTAGGTCTCTGTGCTGTTGGCTAGACCACTTTTCCTTCATTCCTTCATTCTTTCGTTCTTCCTTTCTTTCTTTCTTGCAGTTTTGAGAATTGAGCTCAGGAACTTCACACTGACCTACATCCCCAGCCCTTTTTATTTATTCATGTTTTTTTTGCTTAAATTCTTTTATTGGTACAGTTTAGGTATACAATATGTTTACATTTATCATTGGGTGCTTGTACCTGTACATGATGTATCTTGGTTCTTAATTTTTCCCTATTACCTGTGCGCCCTTCACCCCCTCCACCCTTCCCTATTTACAAAGACTTTGTTTCCATTGTTTTCTTTTCTCATAAGTTTTCCTTTCTCTTCTTTCCTTTCCCCTTCCCCTCCCACTTCTCCTACCCCTTTGGACCTTTTCTTCCTATTTCAAATTATTAATTATTCATTTTTTATTTATTCATTTTTAAAATTTAGTGGCAGGGTGTTACTGTGTCACTAAATTGTCTAGGCTCTGTTTGTTTTAATCTGTGTTTTGTTTATAATCTGAAAAGCTTTCCATTAGTCTTTCACCTAATAATTTTAGAAGCTGTTGATTGATGTGTATTACTTAGATCCATTATTTTATTTAAATTATTACAATGTTTGTGTAATATTTTACTTTTATAATTTTCTACATTTATCTTTTCTAAAGCAAGGTAGCTTTTATGTAAAGAATAATTTTCCTATGACAACTCTTTGGTTCCATAAACTATAAGTTTATTTAGGAAAAGCCAGATAATTGCTTGCTTTTTCTAATTAATTTGTCAGTTTTTGGAATAATGAATTAGTTCTTTAGCAATTCAAAATTAACCAATGAGTTTTTTCATGAAAGAATGATTTGACCTCACTTTTTGGTTTATTTACACAATGTTATCCTCTATGTTATCAAGAACATCAGTGATACAAAGTTCTTAAGCAAGTGGTCTCAGATTCTTTTCCAAGTTGTTCATGCCTCTTTTGCAAATTTTTGATGGTGTCTCTTTCTCAGTCTTCTTAGAAGGCATATCAGAAGATTTACAGACTCCTGGGAGTCATTTTTTAATTTAAATTATATTTAAGAACCTTTTTGACTACCTAGTCAAGGAGTTACATTTGTTTATTTATTCCACATAAATAATAGCCAAATTTATGCATGCTGTATGTCAACCCTGTTATGACTGCTACCTGGCCGGCAGTAATCATCCCTTTTTTTTGTTTGTTTGCTTTTGGTGCCGAGGATCGAACTCCTGACCTTGTGCTTGCGAGGCAGGCAGCAGAACCACTGAGCTAAATCCCCCGCCTGATCATCCTGTCTTTTTGGTACTGGAGATAGAATTTAGGACTTTGTCTTTGCAAGGCAGGCGTGATGCCACTGAAGTAAATCTCTGGCCCAGCAGTGATCATCTTTGTAAAAGGAATGTTTCCTCTTTGCAGAAATATTTAAAAAAAATACATGTTAGAACTGGTGAAATAGGATTACTCAGTTACTATTAGAAAACAAATTATAATAAAAACAACTTTAATTTTTTAACAATAGAAAATATTTCTTACATTGCAAATTAATTAGTCTTTAAATTTTTTTTGAGGCACTTAAAACATTTTTTATATAATATGCATCTTTTAGTAATGGAAGTTAATAATCACATAGCTGACAGGCAGTGATAAAGGTATGGGAGTAGGCAGCAAGAGCCAGGAGGTGGGGCCTTCTCCAGGCTGTAAAAGGCAAGGTGGTCGGGACCTTCAGACCTGCTCTGTCTGTGAAGAGGCATGGCAGCTATGGGGCAGGGTGATGAGCACTGAGCAAGTCCCCAAGTTACCTGAATGGTTCTCAGGGAAATTCTCTCCAGGCTCTTGGTGTCCTAAAAAAGAACTGGACCAGACACATAGAAAAGGTAGCAGGGATGTACATTTATTGAGGGTGGAAGAGAAGTATGTTCTGCAGAGTGAGAGCAGGGCATCATCAGACTCAACAGTGGCCACTTCGATAAGGGAAAGGGGTTTTTCGTGTCTAGAATTACTGGATTGGCTTCTCCCGTATGCAAATAAGGCACGGGGACAATTGTCCTATCAAAAAGTAACTTGGCCTGGCACCAGATTTAAACTGTCCTGTCAATATTGAAGACTTGGTTTGTAAAGGAAGAATTGAAAATAGCAGTTTTCTGATTGGTTCCAAGTGCAGTGCTCAGGTGTTGGCAATATGTGCCTTGGGTATTCCATGACCTTGACAGATTTAGTCCAGTTGTTTGACCAGTTTTGCCCCAGTCCTAATCTCCTACCTCATTTCCTCCTGAGAGACATATTCCCATAAAAACCTTTACATTTTTTGATGATTATAATATTTTCCTTGATTTGCCCTTTTTCTCTATTTTTATATACTTTTATAATTTATCATTGGTTTTAAGCTAATTTTCCTTTATTGTCTATAATTACATGTTAAAAAAGCAACTCTAACCAGTAAGTAGTAAATGCTTTGGAATTTAGCTCTTGGCCAATTTAAATTTAAATATTTAATAAGCTTTCTGCATTTTGTTTCTTTGACAGGTTACAAAAACAGAATTGGAGAAATTAAAATCTAGCTATCGACAGTTAATAAAAGAAATGAATTCTGCCAAAGAGAAATACAAAGAAGCTTTAGCTAAAGGTATGCCAAAATTATGAAAAGTGTTTATGATTTTTATTCTTGCCACTTGAAAGTTGTCTTTATAAATAGTGGAATGATTCCATTTAGATAATTTAAATATTAAAAAAGGTAGAATGAACTGGAGTAGTTGTCATTCATTTTTGTATTTAAATGATTAGTAGTTTTGAATAGTTCATACTAAATCAAATTATGTAGCATTTGTAATAGATTGCAAAGAATGTATAAAAATTTCTTCCTAGTATTAGATTTACTTATTTAATTACAGAGTACTAAAAAAGAAAAGTGATGTTCTATTCATTTAGACGTTTTTACCTGTGGTATTTAAAATACATTTTATAACATTATGTTGGCTTCATAGCTTAATTGTATATGTCTGTATTATCCTAATATTTTCATGAGTCGTCTCAGAAGTGCAAAGAGAAGTATGTTATTTATATTCTACACAGATTTACAATTGTAGCTTCTTATGTAATTAATGTAATTTTATATCTAGAAATTTTTTTAAATGTTAGATTTTTATAGAAATTATAGATTATGATCAGAAGCTTTACTGTTGCTGTCATTGAGCAATATTTTCATTCTGATAAAATGTGTTGAATTAGTCTTCATATTTAGATTTTTAAAAATTGTGAGGATTTATTTGTTTTTATTTAAAAAATTTTCTTTCTAGCTAAATAAAAATGTTATTAAAAGTTCTATTTTCTTTTGTTTCTTTATCTTTTCTCTTGTTAATAACATGTTTTTTCTTTATCTTTTCTCTTTTTACTAACATGTTTTTTCTTTTTCTTTTATTTGTAATATATTCTCGTCATTTTGTTGGATTAAATGAAGTAAACAATTCTTTTATTTGGCTATATCTTGCACAATTAAAAATGCTGTTGTTATTTCCAGTGGATTAGAAGTGATAGTCATTGATTCAGTTCTGTTTCTCCCTTCCTTTGTCCTTTTTCCTTCCTCCCAGCTTCTTTCTTCTCCTTCCTTCTCCCTGTCTCTCTCCTTGCTCTTACTCTTACTTGCTCTTACTCTTTTCTGTTTCCTTCCCAGGCCTTTATGTTTCTGCTTCTGGGGTTTCTATTGTTTTCTTAGGGTGCAAGAATCCATGATCACAGTTTTAATTTTACTGAACTTATTTTCATGGACCTCAACCAATATTTTGAGATTTTTGTTTCTTTATTAATGTAGTTCTTTTCTTTTTTTTTGATGGTACTGGCAATGGAATCCAGAGCCGTGTGCGTACTAAGAAAATAATCTATCACTAAGCTTTGAGCCAACTTCAATTTTTAAAAATCCTTTTATAATTACATTATGTCAGTTATTTTAGAGAAGAAAAGGAAAAAATAGTACAGTGTAAAGACCATATGCTTTGGAGTCAATCTTGAATTTAAGTTCCAATATTGTATGATTATTTCCTTGATTATGTCATATACCTCATTTTTATTCCTTTGTTATTTTTAAGAATGCTTTGCATAATCAAGAAACATTTACTGAGCACATGTTATATTCGAGTTATTGAGATTCAAAACAATATTTTCTAGGCACACAAAGAGCTTGCAGTCTAGTTGACGTATTTTTGAGAACTTCCATCCTCATCTTTCAAAATTTAGCTTCTTATATAAAAGAATCCTTTGTTTAATCATCAAGTGGAGTTCAAAAATAGTTTTTGTACATTAAGCATTACTTAGTCTGTCAAAATAATCCATTATATTGTTAATTATTTTATACCTGCCTAGCCTTCTCAGGTTAGTAAAATTACTTTGTAAACATTCATATCTAACTTCACCCAGAGCAAGTGATGACTTAATCCAATGATATTATAATTCATTTATGCAGTGTATTTTATACTACTTTCATATTTGATACAGAATGACTAGTAACAAAAGGAAATGCATACTTTTAAGTCTTTGATATCTATTTTTAATGATATAGCTTAACTTTAAAAACAGTTTTGAAATAAAATCTAATTCTGATATAATAAAGTTTGAAATAGTTCTTGTAACTCATTATTATAAAAAGTTACTCATAGATAATAATTGCATTTTGTTGCTTTTGATATAAATGAAACACTGTTAAAGTAGGATGGAATGAGATTCTGAAGGCATGCTTTTAATTGGTTATAGGCAGCAAATTATTTGGCTGAATCTCTTTCATTAAAGAATGAGCTAATATACATTTGTCTTTCTAAAGGTATTAATGATAGCACTTTCCTGTTCTGAAAAATTTGATTTCTCTATTAAATATAGTTATTTTCTCAATAAATACTTATACAATATATGAGGTATATGTATATTTTCTTTTGTAATAAAAACTTTATAATCATGTTTAAATTAAAAGTATAAAATTTTGTATTTAAAACATTTGTTTCTGTTTTTGTTGTGCTGGAGACGAAACCTAGGGGGAGAGATACACCATTGAAGAATACCCACAGCCATGTTTCTGTTTTCACATTGCTTCTATGTTTGTGGAAATATAAGTCCTTTTGTGAAAGTTATTTACTTTTCATAAGGATGATAAGCTGTGAGAGCAAAATTTTCCAATATTTGTAGGGTTTATGCCAGAACTTTAGTTCAATCAGGTGGGCTGGACCAGGCTTCTCCTGGATTAGGCCCTAGCAGAGACTGTGGGGCCCTGGTGATAGACATAGATGCACGTCTGTGTCCAGAGTCATTACTTTAGGCATGAAGAGGTCTTGGTAGAGTTATTTAAAACAGTCTGACATAGAGCACCCAGTTGAAGAAAATAAAGTCTTAAGAGACAAGTCTTGGATATAATTTCTATAGTCAGGATAAATTTTGGATTTGATCAAGAAGTAGGGTGGACTCAAGAGCTTAGTTCCTACATGTGGGGATTTTGCAATAGTAGGAAACCAGAAGGAAGTCTGGGTTAATGTTGAAATCCCAAACTCCTGACTACACTAAATAGTTAAAATTTTGAATGTTAAAATTTATATCCAAAGGAACACTAGTTTAGATTCAGTGCATTGTCCTCTGGGTGTCTCTAACAGCTGTTTTTTCCTGTTCTTCATTATCTCCCTTTGTGTTGAATCAGAACCAGACCAAAGTAAACCCACTACTTTTGATTGTTGCATCTCTTTAAACTCTCTTACTAATCTTTTTTTCTAGAATAGTTCCTCCATTATTTTTTCATGGTATTGATTTTTTTCAACAAAGGACAGTTTTCTTGTAAAATTTCCCATATTCTGATTTTGTCTGATTGTCCTTAGTCTGTCCACAATATTTCCTGTAGATTGAAGGGTAGGTCTAGAGGCTTGATTAGATTCAAGTTAAACATTTTTGGCAAGAACACTTCAGAAGTGAAATAGAAAGCTGAAAAGATGGAAAACAATTCCAAAATCTTTGCCAAGGACCTTTGGTATTTATGTTCATCTATTTCCAGACTCATGAACCCTTTAGGAAAACACTGGCCTGAAGCAGTAATCAAAGAGAACCACTCTTCAAGGAACACTGCATCAGGCTTGTTACTTTAGAAAGAAATACTTATTTTTCATAAGAACTATATGCATTCTAGTTGGAGTTGTCTCTTGATAGCAGTATAGGATAACAAGTACTTAAATGGAAAATACATAAATTTTACTTTGCTACTGCAAATTCAATCCTGAATACTTCTAGTTTGTAAAATATGCAGTATAATCAAAATTACAGTGGATTAAAATTATTACAGTAAAAGACACATTAACATTAATACCCATGCAAATAATTCCCCTTGCTTTGAGCATACTACTCCCATTGTTCTTGCCAGTTTCTGAAGCAGTTCTGGAAGTCCTCTTTTGTGCCTTTAGTTGTACTATCCTGTGGTTACTCTGATGTTTTGATTCAGTGCAAAGTCATTTTGACTTTGGGGAAGAGCCAGAAGTCACAGGGTGGTAGATGTACTGAATAAGGTGGATAAGGACATGCCATATGTTTTTATGAACCTGCCTTTCCCATTGGATGGCACTCTGCAGCAGCATTCACCATATTTTTTATCAGACCTGGTAAAGATATGAAACAATGCTTCCAGAACTGCTTCAGAAAGTGACAAGAATGATGAGATAAGTGTTTTACAAGTGAGGGGAAGTATTCTGAGAGGGATTAATGGCAATGTGTCTTTTACTGTAATTTTTTTTTTACTCAAATACACCATGGTTTTTGATGGGCCCTTGTGCATGGTTAAGTTTAGATACAAAATGAATTTGTGAATTCATACAGCTTGTATCTGTACTAAGTAGTGTGAGAAGGAATCACTTTTCTTTGTTTTTTATTATATATATTAGAAAATAAATAGTGCTCTGGGTTTTTCTCTTAGGAGATGTCCCAGAGATTTGCTGGGATTCTTTAAGTGTGAGGAATTGTACTTTTTGCCACAACACATGCTTTAATGATTCCCTTTTACTGTCTTTAACATTGCACTTGTCTAAGGGAAACAAAACAGGAATTTTCTAATGTGAGTTTTAATCTGTTAGTTTTTAAAAATCACAAAAAAGAGAATATTTGTGCCAGGAGTGCAGAGTAATATCTAAGCAATTAGGTTGTTTGCAAGTTTTAGCTATCACGAATTGTGCTGCTATGAACATGGGTGCACATATATCACTGTGGTATGATTCTTTTAATTCTTTGGGGAAGATACCCAGCA